CGCTCTCTACAACTACCTGAAAGGAGGTTGCAGTGAGGTGACTGTCGGTCTTTTCTCCCAAGTAACAAGCTGCACGATGAGAGGAAATGGCCTCAAGTTGTGCCAGGGGAGGTTTAGATTGGTCATTAGGAGAAATTTCTTCATGGAAAGGGTAGTCAAGCATTGGAACAGGCTGCCCAGGGAAGTGGTTGAGTCCCCATCCATGGAGGTATTTAAAAGACATGTAGATGTGGTGCTTAGGGCTATGGTTTAGTGGTGGACTTGGCAGTGCTAGGTTAATGGTTGGACTGGATGATCTTAAAGGTCTTTTCCAACCTAAACAATTCTGTGATTCTATAATAGAACAATGCAGTCATCTGCCTGTTTTGAGTGTAATTGCTTTAGGCACGGACAAAAGTTATCTGCTAAACTGAATCTGTGAGCATGCTCCACGTTTTTCTAGTCCATGTTATGAAAGTTGAAGGTGTGAAGATTGCAGAAATTGTTAGTAGAAGTAATAGCTAACAATTTATTTCTCAAATCTATAAGTTATACAGTGATTTCCAGCTGTCTTCAGTCTCCAAATAGCTCCATAAGATACGCTAAAACAAACCCCAAACAAAAGTCTGAGAGCCGTTGCACACTGCTAACTTAAGAGAGTGTCTGGTATTACCAGACGAGCTCTGATTTTGCATAAGGTAGCTTAGAATTCAGGGGTAAAACTGCGTGTTAAGTACAAATATTAGCATCAAAACATCTGTAATGAAAGCTGCTCCACTTCAAGTTAATTATATTAAAGTATAAGAGAAAACTAAGGTAGCACACTATGCATTTGCTGAGCAGTAAATCTCTACAGTGGTGAACTTGGTGTAAAGAAATGTAAGTGGGTACAAATGTTATTTGTTTATAATAAACAAAAAGAAAACCCTCCTCTCTTTTCAGAAACTTTTTCACTAAAAGGACAAAGGAACTCAAACCTGCTGTCCAAAGCGCTCCTGGTTGGAAGTTGTTTGGAAAAGTCCCACCCAGGGAAAACCTTCCAAAAGATTCCAAAATTATTCAGCAGGTGAGTAAATGTCACACAGCTCTAGGTACAAAACTTGTAAAAATTAATGCATGGGTATTGCAGTTCTCTGCTGTTATCTCCATGTTGTTACTATAGAACCGTAGAGTGCTCTGGGAAGACTCTTTTCGGGCTTTGTCTAAAGAATAGTAGTTACTCAGAAGGAATTTGAGTTTTGTGATTATCTAGTACATTCTTCAGTACACCTCAGTGCTTATAAAAAGGTGATACATGTTCAAAAAGCATTTAAGCTGTTTAGATCAAAACATCAGAACTTGCATTAATACACTTCCTGTAAAATTTTGCCTTATTTAACATGTTATACTACAATTTTTTTAATGGTAAAGCGATTGTGAAATACTCTAGGCTTCCTTTATGAAGTTCAGTTCTGAGTTACTTTTGCCTGTTCTATGCAACAAAACCACAGTCATACTTGTATGTTCAGCTTTTTTTCAAGCGAGATATTAACCTAGTAAAATTTATCCTCTTAAAGCATTCTTGGATATTCTAGTGTTACAAAACTGATTTTCTTTTTTGGGGTTTTTTTTAGGGTTGGTTTTTTTGTGGGCTTTTTCTTTTTTTTTTTCTTTTTTTTCTTTTTTTTTTTTTAAAAAAAAATCTAACTCATCTTTCCATAGTCCTTGCCTGGAAGGCTTACTATCTGGGTAACTTGTTACAAATTACTTAGAATTCTGAAACATGTAATCTTGTTTCATTTCGTCTCTTAATCTCACTCAAGGTATTTTTGTTTCAAAATAGTGCTGTAAGTTGAACTTGTTTTGGAGTTACTGGGGTACTACAGAAAGGTAATTCTGATTTCCTTCCCCTGATACCAAATTGCACTTCCATATATTAATTCCTGTGGAATCTGTCTTTAATTTGATAAAATAATAAAATGGCATAGTCTTTAAAGATGAGCAATTGGTAATGTATCATTAACTTAATGTTAACATGCAATCCTGAAGTTGAAAGTTTTGTTGACCCAAGAAATGTGAATGTCCCTTGGGTTGGTGAAAACAGTAAGTTTGAATCTCTTGAGCTGCTTTTTCTTTGTCTCCTTTCTCAAATTCCATATAAGCTGATGTGTTTGGCAGGTGCAAATGGCTGTGAATGAAGCAGTGTTCAGCCATCTTCTAGAAGGAGCTTCGTGGTGAAGAGGGCCTTTTGGGAGCAACTAAAGTGAAAACCGAGAGGTTCTTTTTGAAGGACTTCGATGTAATGGGACTTGTCACACAATGAAATAATGTAGGAAAATGATGAGATTGCAGCAGGTGCTATTTACTCTGAAGTAAACTGGGTGCTTTTTCAGCATTTTCAAATCCAATTTGCCTTATTTAAATGCTTTCCCTTTTTGGGTGAGAGAGGGCAAGTGTTCTTTCTTAGTTTACTTGCAGATGAATGCTGTTGGACTTGTGCTATGAAAATGCTGTGGTAAAAATCCAGATGTCTCTTCCATCCTGAGAAATGGAGAGTGTGCACAATGCTACCAGTCATCTGCTTCCCATTTTCTAGTTAGGAAGATGTTTGTTCTGGAGACCAAGTCATAATCTGCAGAATTCGTCGTATTCTCTTACCCTGTTGTCCCTCAGTGACTGTTTTTCATTTAAACTGTAGCGTTCCCATTTTTTTAACTTATCTGAAGTGGCAGAAAAGCAAATATATTAAAACAATGTATGTCTTTAAACATGATTTGGTTGGTCCTAGCTGCTAGTCACGTGGCTTGTGTCATAATGGTTGCCAGATTAGGGTCACTCTTGGATTTATATAATCTTGAGTAATGTGTCAGTAATAGCTAATATTTTTAGTTTCTAATTTAGCTAAAGCATGCATGGTGTTTAGATAAAGCATCATGAGCTAAGATAGACAGTTATCAAAGGGGGATCCAGAATGACAGTATACTCTGTGCAGAGTTAGATCTACAATACCTGAGAAAATTTGATTCTTAAATTGAGAGGTGACCCTAAAGTCTCCATATTTAACATATGCCAAATGTGTTGCATGTGTGTTTAAAATTTACAATACAGCTTCTTATGCATATGCCTTTGAAGAAAAGCCAAGTGGTTTCTTTTCTCAAAAATGTTCAAATTTGCTAAGCTGGTGATGGGTTAGAATGAATATAGGCACACTTTGTTATTGAAGGTAAGTGGAAAATAGTATCTTCACTTTTGAATGGCTCACTGAAGTCCCTAGACTAAATTTCTCACTATTGCAGGAGATGAGTGAAAAGAATATAGGCCAGAATGCAGTTAGGATGCCTTTAAGAAGTTGATAGAAATATGATTAAAGCTTAATGTGCTCTGTGAACCTGTCAGATACTTCATATCCTACATGGAGTGTCTCTACAAACTTCCAGATTGACTTTCTAAATTGAAGTCAAGGGATCAAGTGTGATCTGAAACACAAAACCCACATTTTTTTTTTTTTCCCCAATTTTTTTAGCTATCTGTGGTCAGAACAACAGCTACTCACTGTTCACCAGCTTTTGTAAAATGCGCTACTAGATGTAAGAATACGCAGGTAGAATGGGCTTAAGCTGGAGGCATGCTGCCTGTGAGGGAGTTTATGGTAGTTTATTATTAGCAACAAATCTTGCTGTTCCTGAACAGCTATGGCATTTGGCATGGTTGAACACAAAGTTCTGTGACTTTACTGATGCCCGTGGCCAGCTTTGGGGGCAGTGCAAATAAACCCTTGGCTAAGGAAACTCAGTAATGAGTCAGCATCCTTCAGATGAAAAATGAGATCTTAAGAAGCCCTTTTGCAGGAAAAATTAACTCGCAACCGGAAAAACTTTGTAACTAATAAAAGGAGGAAGTCTTTTGGGTAAAGGTAATACTTATATCAAAGGTTTATGGCAATATTATGAAGCTTAAAGGACTTTCCTATTAGTAAAACAAGGAAAAAATTGCATCATTGTAGATTTATAGTCAGAAGGGTGGTAGAGTTCGCATGCCCTGTTTCCATCCTGGCTGATGGAAGCCTCCTTTGTTACCTTTGTTTTGGTAAGGATGATGTAGTAAATTGATATTACGTTTGAATGCTTGTGGCTCCCAGTCACTGTCTGTCAACTAGACATTGCTATATATGCCTCTGCAGAGGAGTCAGGTAGTGACTGTAATATCTTGAATAACTTCCCAGAAAGTCTGGAAACTTAATTTGGGATACTGTTTCAGACATTTTTCAGACAACGATGCTAGCCAGCTCTGCCTGCAGAGACTGCCTAATGAGTATTACCGTAAATAATTTCTTTGCAAGTTTCTTAGTGTATGTAGAAGATACATATTTTTGTCAAAAAAGCAACCTGCAGGGCTTGCCTGGCCGGGGAGATGGCAGAGTCCCCTGCAGCTGTGCTGCCATCAGCATGCTTTGGGTGAGATGCTCCAGCTCGAACTGGGTCAGAGGTTGAAAGTTCTTGGCAGCTGCATCTCCCCACTTGCAGCTGCTGGCACGCTTGGCTCTCCTTGGATTTGGAGCTGCCCAAGCAGGATGTAACTGAGGCCAACTCTTTTGCTGGACATCTCCCTCCTCTGGGCTTCCTTCCTTCACTGTTCTTTAGAAAGGGAAAATAGCAACTCCTTAGGACTGCAAATGTCAAATGCGTTTGGTTTTAGGAAGTGTGCCTTTTTTCATGAACTGCAGCTAATAAAACTGGCTATTATAAGAAGTATGTGGTCATTAATGATCAGTCTGCTAAATTCTTTTCAGTCTGTACAGAAATCTGCTTTAAATTAGACTGCTGAACTATTTTAATATAGAAGCATTTAAAGCAGAAAGCGACTTGTGGGCTGATGTGAAACATTTTGGTGTGTATTGACTGAAGTGCAAGTTCTGTTTAAAAACGCAAGCTCAATTTAATTTTTTGTGCTTAAGGTTAAAGAAAAGAGCTTTTAATCTATGATCAACATGATTCTGAACATCAAGTCATGAAGCTTAGCTCTTGCTCTTTATTAAAGCAGTCTTGAATACTTTTTATTAATTTGTTTAAAGCAGCATGGTGATTTTTTCCTAGTATGCCCGAATTAAAGTAAACTCAAAATATGGAAATACACATGGCAAGATAAAGAAAAGTAAAACGTACACCAAATTAACTTTATCAGCAATTTTAACAAAGTACTGTCAGTGGCAGCCTTGAATAAGTGGTGGTGGGGGGGGAAGCGTTTATTTAAATCTGACACACCATGAAAAACTTGCAGTGATTTAGAAATGATTGCTTATTCAGAAGTGAAGCAAAGCCATCTTTTCCAAAAGCTGTCACCTTGTGTACAAAATGGAAGGTATTAATTTTAGACAGTACATTAAATACTCCGATTTTGATGACTGGGTCACTGTCTCACAACTCACCTCTGAAAATATTATTTTTGAGCATCTCTGAAATGTTTTTAAAAAAAAAAAGTAAAATACTGTACTTGAGGGCTAAAAAACAGTGTCTTCACTTACATATTTTTCTGATGTCGTTATCTCCAGTCTGAAATCTAATGGAGAAATTGCATATGATTCACTGAATCAATGCAACTCCCATGGTCTCCCAGGGACAAGAGCTGTCAAAGACTCCTCTTTAGAGGAACAGATGCGTTTTTTCATACAACTCAGACCTTCTAACTTGCAATATTAACTCTTCCCTCTGATCTTCAACATTTCACTTTAACAATGCATGAAACTCCTAATGTTTAAAAAGTGTATATAGCATGTTTGTCAACAAATCTAAGGATTTAGATATCTGAAAAAAGTAGGTAAATGCAGTGCTAGATGCTTTTTCATAGGAGTGGTTCTTAAGCAGATAGTTATCTAGATAGAGGTCACGTTGGCTTGTCTTCCATTACTACTGGAGGGAAGAGAAAGGCAAGGCTTCTGCCTGTTTAGCAGATACATGTAGAAATATGTTTGTAACAAACTGCCTTGAAACCAGGACAGACAATAAGGGGGTATTGGGCCTTGCACAGAATATGTAATGCCTGAATAACAATTTGTCTACTAGCAGCAGTGAGAAGGCTTGTGATGGTTTT